ATCAGCTGCGGCTAGGGCGAGAAACACGGCATGAGTATTGCGAGAACGGTCGGTGATGTTCACATTGGCGCGAAGCGCGATTCCATAAAGTACGCCTTGGATGTCATTTCTTTTGATTGCAGCAAGAAGAGTCTCGTCCGCTGTAGCAAAGCGGGATAAGGGGGAGGGTAGCGCCTGGACAAATGCTCGTTCACTATACTTGGCCGTGATGAACTTCAACCTTTGCTCCCTTGTGGAAGTGGCGATTGGCTTGTGTAACTGGTCAAGTGTTGCCTCCCAAATCATGTTGCTGACACGGTTGCCGACCTGCAGGAGGATCTCAACGATGTCGTTTGAGAAAGAGTGCACATCCAGTGTCAAGGATCGTATCTTGGAGATATGTGTCCCAAGTGATCGATGAATGCCACTGCATTCGATGCACAAGACGATCCCCAGATTGATAGACACCCATTCAACCTTAGACGTAGAGCCGCAATCAGCACACCAATTGTTGCCTTGATCCGCATCGCGGACTGTTTGGAGTAACTTGGAAGGATTCTCCTCAAAGCCGTGATTATCGCGAACGTAGCTTGGTCTTGCACCTACAGTGGTGCGACGAGTGACATTGTTATTAGAGCCAGTTGATTGGGAGTGTTGAACAGAATATGAGGTGGTCTTTCCGGTCAGCACAGATCCGATATCACGACTGAAAGAGGCACCATCATTGTCCGTGGCGATTGGTGGTGGTGACATGCCGCGACCCTCTACAGCACTCTGCAGAGCATTGTTGATTGCTCTTATCCAGTTGGACATATCCTCCTCGGAGGTTGCCTGGTAAATGCGTTTGTACTGTGGAGTAATGACTTCGAAGCAAAATCGCCGCTCGGCGTTTCGGGCTTCTCGGACGGATGCCATTCTCAGATCGATGGGATCCATGTGAAGATCAAGCTTCTGTTTCCAGTTGCTGTATTCGGAAAGTTTTCCCTGATCTAAGACAATCCAGAATCTGTATGTGGTTAGTTTAAGACAAACTGAAGAGGTGGGTGAATTCACTTGTGCCAGGCTTGTTTGTTGATGCCTTTGGGATCAATATGAGAGCCTGGGCGAGACAGCGCCCACAGAAGACCTTCCTTCCTCTGTTGGCCTGCATTTTTATCAGTACGGTTGAGAGTGGGGCGCGAGTCAAATCTTAGACAGCGCCATCATGACGACTGGAATCGTTGAAAACTGGGCGTAAACATACCATTTGAGCCCGCCGTCGACGCAAGGATGGACAACGCGGCCGCCGGAGTACTGGACGAGTTTGCTTGCGGTAGAATTGATGAGTTGTTGCTAGCCACACTTCGTAATTGGGAACCGGTGCTATCTGCACGGCCTAGATCACTTTCCAATTTCTGAGTTCCATTGGTACTCCCTGAGAATGTAGACGGGGCGCCCGTTGAGATTAGAGAGTCGGGTTCGAGAAAGGTGTTGCTGCTCTTTTCCAGTGCTCTCCGCTTTTCTTCCCTCTCCGTTCGTTGGAACTGGAATTCCTTGTCCGCCTGCCCAACCTCATGTATCAAAGCATCCAACTGAGGAACCATATCGTCAACCTTTTTGGCGGCCGCAAGGAAACTCTTCGCCTGGGTATCAGCATACTTAGTCAGGTGAGAGAGAACCTCCTGCTCCTTGCGACCCCCGTGCAGGTCCTGCATGAACGAGGAGTAATCAAAACGCTTTAATTCGAAATTGCGCCGCTTAGCCTGATACTTCGAGTCACTCTCCGCTCGTTTTTTTTCCTTCAAAGAATCCTGTCGCTGGCCAAGATAGCGACTGACATAGGCATAATAATCCCTACTCTCCTCTTCAAACTCTTTTTTCTTGGCCTCGGCTTGTTTAATATCGTTATTGTAGAGTTTTACCAATGGCTCAATAACGAGTTTTTGAAGTTGTGTCGTATTTAGTCGCTCATAATTCAGTATCTGGCGTGCTGTCTTTTCGAAATAATGGTCAAGTGCAGGCTGGATCGCATTGGCATTGGATGTAGAAGCTTCGTTCAATGCGGAAAGAAATGCTTCTACAGCATCGTTGCAGGCCACTTGTGCTTGCTGGGCGGCCTCAGCCTTTTTGAGGACTTTCTTAATCTTCGCTCGCATATTCCCTGTCTTTTGCTCCAATGCTTTCATCGTCGCACGAAATAACGGGCCATCCTCGACCACACTCATGTCCTCTCCAGGGCGCGAATGAGGAAGATCGACCTTGACAGGAAGGGGGGGTGCATACCCAGGGGGGGGCACGAAGGCCGTGTCGCCGGCTTCTGGAGGTGTGACGGGCACAGCATGAGGGTTAGATGCTGTATCTGCATCACTGGAGTGCGAGACGATGGATTGTGAGGAAGGAATACGATTCCGAAAAGGGACAGGGATTTCTAGGCTTGGTGACAAGACCTGAGGACTGGGGAGAGCACGCTGGGTGCTGTGCACCCAAAACGAGAAATGAGCAAGGGTATTCAACCGATTGGCTCTCTGGTCGTAGTCAAGGAAACTGCAGCTGTTTCTCCAACCACCCCCTTTATCCTCTATGACCTTGGGCGGTTTCCATTTCCACGACCATTCAAATTGCACCGAAGGATTGCCCGAAGTCGAATAATCCCCAACCAGCTGCACATTAGAATTGTTTTGGAGGTTCGGATTGGCGTGAAACTCGCGAGTGATAAGATTGTCCAGGTCTCTAGTGTTGGGCGCATGCGCGAAAGTGAGGCCCGTTAGAACGGTGTCGGCTACTTCAGGCAGAGAGGTAGAGACCCCATTGACAGTGGCATTGGCGGCGTTTCCCGTCTGGGTTTGTCTCAGGATAAAGGTAAAATTGAAATTCAGCTCGTCTTCGTTGGTCAAGCGCAGGAGAAATGTGGGCACAGGTGCAGATGGCGAAAGATCAGGGTCCTGTCCACCGGTGAACGAAGCAGTTAGCTACTGGTGTTTATCCCCCCCCAAAAACCCAAGCATTTACCGCCACGATATAGCCGGCGTTCTCGATTTACCTGTATGTATTCGATCGGGCTCTCATCGCCAATTTCGCGCCTAGCGGTGTATCTGGTAGCAGGAAAGGAGTTGGGAACGAGATGTAGGAGCACTCGGCGCCTAGAATTGGTTATCGTTACAGCAGCAATCGTGACTAGAGGGGTCCAAATGAGCCACAAAATCTGTTGCATCCTTAATTAAAGAGGGGCGTACATTTGGCCTGGTCTTTGATATACAGGCTCCCGGAGTCATCCAGGCGGCTTCCGACATTGCCCATAGTGAAGTGGCTGGAGGTATCGAATCACCGTCGGAAGAGCAAAGACCGGAGAAGTGACCGGTGGGACTAGGAGGGGGCATCGACAGTCTGCGGTCCCGTAGCCGGATGTTGCGCCAGACTAAGGATAAGGCGAAAAAGAATGAGATTATCGAGAGAATGGCTCGTCATTCAGATAATTGATGGGTCACTAAATTATTTGCGACCAAACTTGCTCGCTGCGAGGCGATTGTGTACCGTGTGCTGAAAGTCACGAAAATCGCGTGCGCGCGGAGGAAGGATCGCTCCGGCGATGGTAACTGAGAGGAAGGAGCAGAATCTGCTCTTCTGAGTTCAAGTATAATAAGCCAGGAGGAGGTGTTGTCCGAAGTTCGCGGGGAGGAGGCGAAGGGAGGAAGGGAAGGAGGGAGGGAGGAGGGGAAGAGGGGTGAGGGCAAAGGATAAGAGAAGTGGAAATGGAGCACGCCCAGAATGACAGACAGATCAAAACCAAATAACAGCCCTTCAGAAACTGCAGAGGATGCGACAAACGAGAACCCCGAGGAACAGATATGGAATTTGGCCTTTGAAGTTGTTTGCGATCTGAGAGTGGGTGAGAAAGAAAGAGGGACGGAGAGGGTAGGTAAGTAGGCCAGGGCGAAGCAGTGAGACCCGCCGGGGGCTAAGACAAAATCGGGTAAGACGCTCATTTCTCTGCCGGCTGACCTGCGACAACGAAAAGCCGCTTGTGTTTGTGCCATTTTTGACAGTTGTTTCCTCTTCTGTTACTCCTTACGGTACGTATCGTCATCTCCTCTGAGGAGGAGGTTTGATCAAGCTACCTATCCATGATCCACCTCCTTCATGATGCCTGTCAATAGCTCTCTGTCAGCTTCTTTCACCCCACAATCTCGTTATCAGAATTCAGTCATATCACGGCCGCCCCAGGGAATTCTCCTGCCCCTCGTGTTAGCATATGTTGCAGTTTGCCGCAATTTCCCTTAATCCGCAGCCTGTCGTCCTGAATGGGTTGCATTGAACATAATAAGACGCGGGCTCCCTTCCGTGCTCGCAGAGCAGATAGAACGGTGGGTGTTTCACAAAGCAGCTGTCAAGTAGGATCGTATGTCTAGTCATAGTAATAGCGACCTGCGAGAGCCATTTGAGAGACAGTGTAATCAATTTGTCTCCTTCCTGCTTTCTTGTTCTTTTCTTTTGGTGCTCTAGGAACGCCATCAGGACCACACAGCTATTCTGCATGCTACCAACTATTGTCCTTTGAAACAGCCGCGTTCTTGGTTTATTGCATCGAGTCCACAGCATACAACATCTGAGCAACATACTGGCTGCATTCTACTCGTCGAGCGCAAGTTCCATAACCACCAGACAATCAGCTAAAGCAGAGACGACGCCCGGAGATCCCCACAGGCGGGCTGGAATCATGAATGAGGATTACAGTGGCGCAAGCAATTGTATTATTAGCTGTTCTGGGCTTAGGACGAAACAATGAAGTTATGAACATTAAGAATTAATCAATGAGCGGGCCTGATAACGAAGGTATAATAGCTAAGCATATCGCTGAGGAGACACGCAAGAGAGCAGAGCGAAGAGCCTATTGAGAGGCGAAATAAGAATATGAGGGCCAAGGGGAACGAAGGGTGGAAGAAAGCTTCGAGGATGTTCAGCAAGTGATCATTGCAAAAGCCCTGTACGAAATAGGTCGACGCAAGCAGGATTCCGGTGTACCTGGACATGAAGGAGTCGGGCATTCATAAATCCACGGGACCCCCTTCGAAACCCCTCTGATCTTGTGCGGAATTGCCCGCCTTGGATCTGGAGCCGGCATAGTCATCTCCTTGCGCCCAGTTTATTAAGTGGCCTTTGACATCGCGCATCTCGTGGACCTTATGCGCCAGGTCCCCCCTTGCTCTGCGTGGAGCGTGCACGTCGCTGCGTTCATTCAGGTCCTCTTCGTCTGAGCTGGAAAGAGAGAATGATGAGCTGTTACTTCGCTGAAGGAAAATCATTTGATTTCCCTCATGCTTTTTGAATTCTCGCTGCTCATTCTTCAATGTTTCCATTTGCGCAGCATCCCCTTTGCAATCAAGTGTGGTTATATGAAGACCTACCAAGTTGGATGAAATGAACTGCTTGAGAAGAGGAAGATACCCGGCATTGGGACGATAGGTGCCGCTATCGTTATCGATGAAAAGCTCGTAGTCAGCTGGATCGGCCGATATTTCCAAGTGATTTTGCGACTCGTCCGCGGAATAATTGCAGGTTTCTGAAGGATGCGGGGTGTCAGGCTGTCGGTGATGGCGATGCTTTCGTCGTCGAAGAAAGAATTCCCCAGAATACGCGATATAGATTGATACATTGCTATGCATGGTGTGCTTGCTCAAGAGATCGATGCCGAATTCCTTTCCCGTCTCCGTGAAGCGAAATTGTCCGTCAAGTGTAATAACGTAGGTGAAGATTCTCCCACCCTGGGCATAGTGAACAAACTCCAGAAACTTCTGAGTAAGTTCAACACACGGCGATGCGAATTGACCGGTAAGAGTTGTCTTGTCGAAGTTGTAGATACGCTCATGTTGATGATGGAGCGCTCGGTTGAGAATCCTGCCACGAAGACTGTGGGACGTGAACATTCCGGCCACAAATGGTTTGAATTCGACATATCGATGATACAGCTCGGCGGGCACAGGGCCTTTGAATTGTATTTGAATAGCTTGAAAGCTAAAACGTGGGCAGTGAGCTTGTTGAAATCGTTGTACCTATACGCTTGGATTGGAACAGGTAGACGTACTTGTATCGACTGATTGTCTTTTGGCCATTCTGGCTCTGAACTTCGTCCTTGGTGCCTGCTAACCTGCCAATAAGGGGAGAGAAATGCTTGAACCAGTAATTCGGCCCAACAGTGTACATATGCGCTCCTTCATCACCGGGCGTCTTGCCTAGGCACTCGATGCTGATCACCAAGTGTGAAGCCACGTCGAGGCGTCGTGAAGCCAAGGCGGCAATGTTGCCGAACAAGTATACTCGTTTGCTCCCCAGTCGCTTCTTGACACGATAAGATTGTTCCTTGATAGTAGGCCAATCTTCATCGATTGAGTCTACTTCAACGTAGGCGTTTCCAAGTTTATCATCATGGTCGGTCGCATCCTCGTCGTAAACATTACATTTCAACTGGAAGCCCGATGCCGGAACATTGGCCACAATCCACTCCTTCTCCCAGACCGGATCTCGGTTCTTTCGCACTGTAGGCGTTCGGAACGAGATAACGGGATCTTGCTTGTGACGTTGCGGAAGGTCGACGATTAATTGAGCATGAACATAGGGATCCGAAGAGAAGGTACCAAAATCCGCGCAAGGAAGGTTGACGCCACGATGAAAAGTAAATTTGACGGTATACCCTGGCGGAGCATAAGGATACGGGGTACTATCAAAGCCTCCAGCGGGTTGCGATCGCGAGCGTTCGTCCCCGTGCAAGGTGGCCTTCATGGCAGCCGCTCTGTCTTGCACGTGCTCTGTCTTGTCGAAGAATCTCGGACCATACTTATCTACCGGACGCCGTCGACGTGTCCGCGGTTGCGCTTGTTCCATGGGAGGTGGAGGGAAGGAGTTGAAGCTGGACAAAATGAAGTTTGATAGCAAGTAATGGGGTCGGGGCCCGCGGGTCCGCCAGTTACCTGCAAGAGTGTGCGGGGATCAGCAAGCAGGCGCAGGATGATGCAGGAGACGTCTGCGGTTCCGTGTTGTCTTTTGATTGTTCTTGCTCTTCCTTTTTTTTGCCCTTCTCTTCTTCTTTCTTATTTCAATCCCTTGTTTTGTGTTTGGATTCCTCTTTTCAAAAGAAGGTGCGGGCGATTAAGAAAGAGATCCGAACCAGAAATAAGAAAAATACGTGGTTGGGACTTTATTCAACCACACCTCGGAGTTGCGGGAACTGACATCATGCGGCCCCTCCACGGGAAGAGGGGAGAAATGAGGGAGAGGGAGAGAGGGTGTGGGGGAGATGAGAGAAAGAGGGTATGTGTGAGAGAGTGAGTGATTGTTGTTGGTCTCGGCAAGGCTTCTTTCCCGTCGATCGTGTCCCCAGGAGGTTTGGACGATGACGGAAGGACGGGACCGAGTCTCCCTGTAGGGCGTAGCGGAGACCACGTTCCACCTAATCAGTTACAGATTTCACAGTACGTAATAGGTAAATAAACAGGTACATCGTCGCTTAACAAGTAAAAGTGCACAGCGCCTAATAATGAGCCTGCCTTATACAGTGTCCACTGTGCACAGTCCCTGATCGATGTACACTTCGGTATTCCAGAGTACCATGCGCCGACGAGACTTGGAATGATATGAGGTAAGAGATTAGGTTTGCATAAGAAGAGAACGAGCGGGAGAGCGATTATTCACAGCAGAGAGGTATTTCATGTTCCATGGATGTACAGAATGCAGACTAAATACTCACATTTGCATTTGGTTATCGCAATCGAGTGACGTCATTCTAGGCTGCCGCGTTGAATTCGGTTCTGGTGTATGACCAACCATCCCATGGATAATGATCCAGGCACTTTAGAGTGTCTGGTTGTACTCTTATGTCTCAGTAGAACAAGTGGATCCCCATCTACTGGTAGCACGGGATACCTGGCAGATTTCCCGGCATCAACAATTGCCATGAGATAATGGATAACAGGTCAGGCCCGGACCACCCACGTGTCTTATGCATTTCAGGATCCTCGGAATAAAAATTGCATATCTTCTGGAGTAAGTTTTTCCAGAGCCTCCCCCTGATCCTTGTTAAGGGTGCCATTGATGAGATTGGCCTTCTTCTCCTGTAGTAGCACAATGCGAGATTCTACTGAATCTTCTATGCAGAGTCGAGTGATGACGCAGGGTCGGCGCTGCCCGATGCGGTGGCAGCGATCCGCACTCTGCCATTCAGCGGCGGGGTTCCACCATCTAGGACCATGAAACATCAGTGGACAGGAAGAAAGATAAGATCCACCGCCTTTGAAAAACTTACGGGTCAATGATGAAGACTCTCGACGCCTCGGTCAAATTCAGTGCTACACCACCAGCTTTGAGTGAGACGAGAAACACCTCGACATCCACGTTGTTCATGAAGTATTCAATCGACTTTTGCCGTTGCGCTGGTGTCATTGTGCCGTCGAGCATGACTGTATTGAAACCGGCTCGGCGTAAGCGCCACTCGACAAGCTGTAGCATGGAGGTGAACTGCGAAAAGACGATTGATTTATGTGTCTGTTTCTTGCTTCGAAGCTTATACAACTCATAAACCAGCATTTCAATCTTAGTCGACGACGTCCAGTCCTCCATTCGGATGCGATTGATAATAGAGTTCTTCTTGACGTGCTCCTCTTCCTGTTCGATATCGGGCTGCTCGAAGTCGATCGACAAGGGAATGTGACAACGAGGGCAGTCGACCACAGACTTGATTCCAGAGGATTGAACATAGTCTTTGACACATCCGCGGCAAAATTCATGATGACAGCGAGATCTGATTGCTTCCTCTGCAGGTTCATCACATATACTACAGACAAGAACATTCTGTCCGCTCTGAGCATGTTTTTTCAAAATGAGATCGGGATGGTTCGCCACTTGTCGCATCTGCATGATAAGTCCGAAAATATTGGCGTAATTGTTCAGCATGACACCGCGGCTCACGTAGGTATCAAATTGGCGAGTAGAGTTTGTCATGATACTCCTAGAGAAATCACGTTCGATTTCTCCAAAGAATTCATTACGGATGACAACACTGGAGACAAGTCAGCGCAGCTCAATCAACTTGCAGAATGTAACAAACCGTTTGGGTGGAAGCTCCATAGAAGCTGTATGATCTCGCTTGATTCGTCGCAACATGATCCTATCCGTCAAGAGGCGCAATTTTGCCAAAGCTTCCTTTCTAGCATGAGCATTGTCTCTTTCAGTTACTGTTCTCAGTTAGGCTAGTCTCAGAAGTGGACGACTTGTGAAGCTCTTACTGGGATTGAGAATCTCCTGGTTGAAAACGGACACGTGACTGAAGCCACTACAGTGGATGTTAACAGTGGAAAACAACACACAAAGCACTGAAATGAAACTTACCTATGTTTACATGTTGTACACCGTTTTTCTGCATCCTGTGACCAATGAAGTTGTTGACACTTGCATTGCTTACAGAAATAGCAGGCGAAAGGACGGACTTCCAAGAAACGAAGCAGTGAGAAGAATTCGCCAATCCTATTCTGAACCGGTGTACCAGAGAGACACCACTTGAACTTGGCTTTTAATGCGAAACAGGCGCGGGCAACACTCGTTGTCCGTTGCTAGTGTTTTGGGTTTAGTATTCGAGCTTCCTAGTCAGGAGCGGACACACCAAGCTTACCTTAATACTGTGCGCTTCGTCCAGGATCAGTCGGTGGTATTTGATGGAATGAATGACGCCTGCGTTGTTGTAAGTATGCATATGAAACACATTGAAATGTGTATCACATACTGTCCTCCTTCACGATCCCATCATTTCTGTTCCAACCCTTCCACTCTTTGCGATGGATTGACTCAAGGCCAGAATCTGAACAATTGTAAGTCTCAGTTTCATGTTATAGCTCATCTAATCACCTACAAGAAATCATAATCACATCATATGTTTCCAACTCCTTTTTTGAAAGAGTCTTGACCTTGGGATTGGAGTTATGATAGACAAGAACTTTCAATACACCACTTGTGTACTCCTGAAGAAAAGAAGTCAGCCATGTTAAAACACTGAGAGAAACCGAGAAGCAAACCTTGATCTCGGACTGCCATTGCATCAGAGCAACTGGAGGTACTACCACAAGCGATGGCATTCCGGCCGGGTAATCGGACATAATGAGGGAAACAGCCTGAATTGTTTTACCCATTCCCATCTCATCTCCTAGGAGACCTCCCTTATACTGCGATTGCTCTTGCTGCATCATCCAGTTGAGACCCTCGAGCTGGAATGACTTGAGCGTCCTTGAAATACCACTTGGTTGAGTTGCCGCTACCGGCTTGATTGGAGGCAATTTTGCCAAATCATCCCACATCGTTGTGACGGATGGGTGCTGCTTCTCTAATTTCTTCCGTTCCCTGATAGCCTACAGAGTGATTTAGTGATACGTTTCCAGCAACTTCATTCAAAGAACATACCCGACGTGTCATCCAAACATCCCCTGGGACTGAAGAACTGCTTCGAGCCGATATAGGACCTTGTCGTGGCGTCCTTGAAACTCCAGATTTCCGTACAGCCCTACTTCTGGTTGGCTCCTGTGGCTCGGCATCTTCATATTCGCTGACCTCGGTCAGAGAATACGAAAACTCGCTGAGATCGGATTCACTTGAGGAGATATCCGTTTGGTCGGTTCTCATCTCGTCACCTGTAGGTTCGTCATCACACAGAGCGTTGCTGATCTGAGCTGATCGAAGCGGCCGTTTTCTGGATGAAAGATGCTGTGCATGGAGACTCTCATTTTCTACTGAGCGTCCCATGTCAGTGGCAGAGGAATCGGTGCCTGAAGTAGAGTGACGTGACGATTTAGGTTGCTTTGGTGACCGCCCTTGAAATTCTTGAGCTTGTAGAGCCTCCGCCAGAGCAGCATCCGTCGTGAAGGTCGTAGAAAACATAGATGCGGCAGGTCTCTTCAACCCTCGGGATGAGTTTAGGGACATAGTGCTTGAATGTAGTTCTCGCGCACGAGCAGAGGCACTAACTCGCTTCTTCGACCCAGATGCATCAGATTCGACTGGTGTAGCTGCAGTGCTGGTCGCTGGCGTACTGTATGTTCGCGTTGAGACCCCGGAAGAACGCTCGTCCAGCAGAGAAGTTTCAGACTCGGATGATGTTGCCGCTTTCCTGGAAGGTATAGCAATTTCGATAGATATCGGCTTCATCTCTTGATCTCCCATATTCGCTGGAAAAGGGCCGCATCTGCCATTGTTCTCTGCCTGGGAAATGCTGACTGACGAGGTCAAAGACGTTCGATTCAGCCGCGCAGAAGTGCGTCTGGGAAGGACTGCCACGGGGTCTATACATCACATGTCAGCTAGTATCGGAGTTGCCATCTCTCATAATATCTCCAAGTTTTGTTCTCAATGTGTTATAACTTATTGCAGGTTGAGCACCCGTGTCATTCAGCATGGGATAAGATAGCAAGTCTTCGCCTTACCAGTATTTGATAACCGCCCTTGCTGCCTGGTAGATGGACTTCTTCCCATTGTGCTGATCACTTGGGTGCCTGGTCACTGCACACAAAGAACAGACTGATACCCGTGGGATAGATCTCGTAGTCGGTGGAACGCGGGTATTATCAGTAGTGTAATGTGTGAAGGGATGGATGACCGATAAGAAAGGTGCGGGATCAGGGTCTAGCCGGTGTGAGGTTAGCGGAAAGAGGTAAAGGACAGTCGACAGAGAAAACAGATGAGTCAGCGACAGGTAGAAATGCGACGGAAAAGAGAGAGAGAAAAAAAAAGGGAGAGAGGCAGAGAGGCAAAAGTGAAAGAAAGAGACAAAAGTGAATCCGCTCCACTTACCAAAGTACGGGTTTTCGGACCTATCTCTTCAAAACTTCAATCCCTTCTCAAGTATT